CCCTCACCCCCCCCCCAGCTGCTCGGCCCCAGGCGTCCAGATTCAGCTGCTGTTGAAACTGATCAGCGGCTGATTCCAGGAAGCCCAGGGCAGAGAAACTCTGCCTCCAGCCTTCCTGTAGTCAGCCACTGGTCAGTTTCATCAGCGGCTGAATCTGGACGCCAGTTCCGACTTACCTACAAATTCAACTTAAGAACAAACCTACAGTCCCTATCTTGTACGTAACCCGGGGACTGCCTGTACAGCCGGTATGTCGTCCTCGGGCATAACCTCAAACACCCAACCTGGGACCCTGGGACTTATTGGGTGGCCCCTGATTGTAGTCCAAACCCAAACGAGAACGTCTCCTCGTATTGCGGGCGGAACCACCTCTATTTCTGTGCCTGCTGTCAAACCAAGCCCCGACTGTAGCTCCTCTGCCCCCGGGAGCTCAAGGGGCGGCGTTGAGGCGCGGGGGTGTGCAGGCCCAAGGATTTCAGGGTCGCCCTGGAGTCCGCTATCAGTTTGCTCCAAGAACAGGCCTGTTCCCTCGAAGGGAAGCTCCTGCATGGTTGTCTGCACCTCCAGGGGAATTCCGGAGACCTGCAGCCAAGTCTCCGGCGCATAACGATACCGGTGGCCATGGTCCTGGCAGGAGAGTCTGTCCAGAGACCTGCAGCCAAGAACTCCAGTGCATAACGATGCTGGTGGCCCTGGCAGCAAAGTCCGCCACTATGAGTCTTGAGGCAAACTGGCCTTGAACTTATCGGTTGCTACCCAATTGTTAAAAGCGTACAGGCTGAGCAGGACCTGCTGGTTAGCTATCCTCAGCTGTAAACCAGCCGTCTCATATGCCTTCCTCCCCAGGAGTTTGAGCTTTTTTGGGCCCCTTACTTTTGGGCGTGGGCCCCAACTGCCCCTGCCTCTCCCACTGTCAGGCCGCCTGCACCACTGCCGAGCCTGGCGGGGGGTGGAAAAATAAATGCTCGTGGACCGCCTGAGGGACAAAGTACCATCTTTCTACCCGTTTCTGCATAGGGGTTATGGAGACCGGGGTTTGCCAGAGGGTCTTCGTGATTTTTGCCACCATCTCGTTCAGTGGGAGAGCAATTTTAGTGGGGCCCTCCGCCGTAATTATGTCAACCACCGGGTCTTCATCCTCCTTTACCTCCTGAGCTTGAACCCCCAAATTCTGGGCCAACCTTCTGAGATCTTGGTGTGCCCTCACGTCCATGAAGGCCATCGGGGGCGACAGGCCGGCCAAGGCCCCATCCAGAGACAAGGAAGACGACTCCTTCACCACCAGCGGATCTTGCAGGACACCAGTCCCAGATTCCTGTGTCAGACATGACACTGACTGGGCCTGCGTAGGGGGCTGGACGACATCCTGGGAGGGAACACCTGTTCCAAGCAACCCTGTGGGGCTAGCTCTGCTCTCCGACTCCACTCTCACCAGCAGAACTGCCGAGGGGAGTGACCCACGCTCCAAGTAGGAAGAGGCACCAACTGACCCTGACCTCACCAGGGCCTGGTAGTATGCCCACGGGGTCCAGAACAGCCATTGCGGATGGGGTTGCCACTGGGGAGGCCAAGTCTGCACCTCTGGATGCTGGTGCCTCTGGGTCTGCGACTGAGAACTCAAACAGTGCCAAGACCTGGACCGGTATCGAGGGCTTGACCCGGAACACCTGGAGGAAGACCTCGAAGAGAAGGACTCTACATTGGATTCAGAGGAACACTCCGATGCCGACCAAGGCTGTGCTGCTGAGCATTCCGGGTCCCTCTGGGCCTGACTGGACATTGCTGCTGGCTTGCCTCGGTGCCAGAGGCGGCATGGACGCAGAGTCCGGTGCCAGCGGACGTGGAAGTGGAGACACCTGTGGCCTATCCCTCGCCTGGTCCTGAGCCCCCAAGGGCAGTGCCGGCTGTAGTAAGTTGAGGGTCACTAACATGGAGTCAGCAGGCCTAAATAGAGGCCTGTAACATGAAAACAGCAACATATCTGCAATCTAGACTTAACCACTTCATTTTTAACCACTTTATCTTTCCTCTCAATCCCTTGGTGCAAATTTGCATATCTTCTTCTGATCCCTTTTTCGGAAGAGGTTTATTGGAGGGGAAAAAAAAAAAGGCAGTCTAGACGGGGATTTTCCACGTAAAAACCCCCTTTTTCGAAAAAACCCTGTAAACCTCATTTTTTGAGGAATTAAGGGCTCTTTCAAAGAAGAGGGGGTTTTGCATGGAAAAACCCCATCTAGACTGCTTTTATTTTTTTCGTAAAAACCTTCCAAAAAAGGGATTGGAAGAAGATATGCAAATCTGTGCCAGATTTGCATATCTTCTTTTGGAATCCGAGTGTAGTCTAGGCGTGCCCTCAGTGGTGTCCAGTGTTCCCTCTAAGATTTTCCACCCATGAGACAAGTGAGTTTTGTCTTGTGCACCAGTATTGAGTTCGTGTGCGCTTGTTCAGATGTGTGTCACTGTGGCACCCAAGTTATTAACAAATCTCTTATAAACCTCTCCCTTTTCCCTCTGGGTATGTCTATTATCTGCCATTATACAAGGCATTTGGAATACTGTGCAGACCCCATTTGGAATACTGTGCAGTTCTGTTCTCCCATGTTTAAGAAGGATAAATTCAAACTGGAACAGGTACAAAGAAGGGTCACTAGGATGATCCGAGGAATGGAAAACCTGTCTTATGAAAGGAGACTCAAGGAGCTTGGCTTGTTTACTTTAACCAAAAGAAGGCTGAGGGGGGATATGATTGCACTTTTTAAATATATTAGAGGGATAAATACCAGGAAGGGAGAGGAATTATTTAAGTTTAATACCAATGTGGACACAAGAACAAATGGATATAAGCTGGCTAGTAGGAAGTTTAGACTTGAGATTAGACAAAGGTTTCTAACCATTAGAGGAGGGAAGTTCTGGAACGGCCTTCCAAGGGAAGTAGTGGGGGCAAAAGATCTATCTGGTTTCAAGATTAAAATAGATGGGTTTATGAAGGGGATGGTTTGATGAGATAACATGATCTTGGTATCTAATTGACCATTCTTTATCAGTGGGAAATAGGTCAATGGAAGGATGATAGGAGTTACTATAGAGAACTTTCTGGGTGTCTGGCTGATGAGTCTTGCCCACATGCTCAGGGTTTAGCTGATCGCCATATTTGGGGTCGGGAAGGAATTTTCCTCCAGGGTAGATTGGCAGAGGCCCTGGAGGTTTTTCGCCTTCCTCTGTAGCATGGGGTACAGATCACAGGTAGAGGATCTCTGCATCTTGGGGTCTTCAAAGTATTTGAAGGCTTCAATATCTGAGATATAGGTGAGAGGATTATTCTAGGAGGGGTGGGTGAGATTTTGTGGCCTGCACTGTGCAGGGGGTCAGATTAGATGATCATAATGGTTCCTTCTGACCTTGGAATCTATGAGTCTATGAGTCTAATGTCAGAGAGGCTAAGATGCAAAACTAGATAGGCAGTGATAAATAAGGAAGGGAGAGATGGGTTTGTGCATTATCACAGACATTGTAAATTAAAGTACAGGATGTCGCCCAAAACAGTAACACAAAAGAGGGATTCAAGAATAGAGCAAAATATAACCCATAGACAAAGAAGGCCATGCAAAAGGAGAAATGGGTGGAATAGACAATGAGGTAGCAGAAGAAGCAGAAAGGACAGTTTCATAAAAACCAAGCATTGATAAGAAGTTGAGAAGATTTAAACACTGTCTTTCTCAAAGATCAGGGAGGATAAAGTACAGACCTTGAGATCATCACAAAGCTTTGCAAAAACAATTTAAGTGGAGTGAAGGTGATGGAAACCAGATCCAAGAGGATCCAGGATAGAGATATGGAGAAGAGGAAATCAAGGCAAGTTGTGTAACAGCAGGAGCGGCCCGAGACGGGCTGTGGCAGCTGGCGCCCAAGGCAGAACGAGCGATCAGCGCCCCCGCCTGCACAGCCATCAATGGGTCAATGTCATCATCGGGCGCCCCGGGCGCCCGGTGACATCATCAGGTGCCGTTGAAGGTGGTGCCCTAGGCAACGGCCGAGTCGGCCTATAGCCACAGGCTGCCCCTGTATAACAGGCACGCTCAATTAACTTAGCAGTGAAAGGAAGAAGGAAGTTAGAAAAGCAAGTGCTCCATCTACAGGAAAATGTCAATGCCTGGTAGCAGTACATTTTCAGTTCAGGCCCCTGACTAAGAATTAATATTTCTGATCATCTGGTAGTGCCCACGTTTATTAAGCTTCAGAGCCAGAAGCAAATACCACTTGCTTACTCAGGATTGTGCAAACAGAGCAAGGATGAGTCCCATTTATAATGCAATTTATATTAACATTTTAGTTCAACCTTTTTCTTTCATACACATTCTTTTTCTCTTAATAGTGACATGTGCACCTCAAATTAAAAGAAGTTGGACATATCTTACACATTAGAAAACAAAGAGAATAACCGAACAGCCAGCCAACTGCCTTGCTGAAGACAACACAAGAGCTTTCATCCCTCCAAACATTATCTATTGGTAAAGTAACATATGCCTTCTGAGACACAAGAGAACAAAGCAATCAACTCTTGCAACTCCTTCAATTTCAGACACTGACCTATTAAATTATTACCTTTCAATTGAATGCTTTACCCAATTTTCTATTAAACAGATGACGCATATGAAGCTTTGTTATTAAAAAGGATATTCAATTAATATTTACATTCTATTACATATTTTGTTATTGATTTACGTTACTCCAATAATCCAGCGATACTGAGGCAATTTTACAACTGTGCTGGTCATGATGAAATAACCAAGAGTCCAACAAACATTTTAGAAAAGTATGTAAGTGAATAAAAACGTTATATCAATGCATCTAACAAAGGCATTAGCTCAAAAGCTTCATTCACAATTTGTTTAATCAGAAAATATGAAAAATGTCCAATCAAAATATTTGCTTACCTGAAGGTACTAAGGCATCTCGCTCAATGATGCTTGCTGATGCCAAATCACTGATGATATATTGCAATCTCAGGTGTTTGAATACTGTCAAGAATGCTCTTCCTTGCTCAGATTCTAAGAATGCAATGTCATCCTCAAAATCTGCAACATTACAAGAGACATACACATCTAGGAGTTTCCTAGAACTTTCTCATTTTGATTTAAAATATTTATACACATTTAACTGAAGGTCCTACGCTCTCCAAATAGAGAAAGGAAAATTACACGTTGCAAGCAACTTTAACAGCCTGCAACAGAATAGATTGCTCAATTTTAAGGAAGTGATTAGCATTCAAATAACTGTAAATGAAAAGTTACAGGTTCATTTTTCCTACTCCAGCACCGTTGGGACCTGACCAGTGCTGAATCAGAGAATTTGCCAGTCAATATTGTCAAGCAGTATTACCAACACTTCCACTGCTTACTGGCTCTTGAAAGACATTTAGGGAAAACAACAGCACAGCACACTGATAGCCTGGACTGTTGGCTGTAAACAAACTTTATGGTATGCGGGACACTTGGCTGCACCCAGTAGTGGACATTCCCCTAACTAAAATCATGCCAGACCATGGAGGTTACTGGACCAGAGAGGTTCAACCTGTATTAGACCAAATTGTCTTTATCCACTGAAATACAAAAGAGTTTGGCCAGAATTTCCGAAAAATAGAAGATGTCACTAGACAAGTCAATAATAAACATAAAGCAGTTTACCCTGAAATGATTTTGTTTCAGCACGCATGGCCAAAACGGCTAAAGGGAAGACTTCTTAACAGTATAATGAGAACAGGAAGTTAGGTCAAATAAATTACTGCACCTCTTCGGTATACATGGGACACTGTTTCTGGAGGGAGCTGAAGGACAACTGCACTGTGTACCTGCTGCTGGATGTATTGAGCACTGAAATTCTAAATCCAGCACCTTTTTCACAAACACTATATCTATACAAATAGACTTACCTTTTCTACGCTTGGAAAACCAGGCATCTGCTTCAGTTAACAGTTGTTTTAGTGGTCCGTTCCAAGAAGGCACTAGCTGAAGGAACATCCACTAAACAAAAACAATATTTGTAAGCTTATTTTAGAATCATAAAACATAATATAAACACCCAAGATTAATAAATTTTATGTTATAGCTACTAAGAAGCTCCTCCTAAAAACAAGTAATGAATTCTACTGCTTATTATTAGACATTAACTTTGTATTCATCACAACACTAGTATAATAAAATATAATTATGATTAGAAGGATGTTTTCACAATAAAATGATCTGAAAACAGTTTAAAATTGTCTCTATACAGATTTTAATGTTCACAGCAAAAAATCAAAATATAATAAATTTCATAATATTACTTTACACTACACCACTGAAGTATCAAAAATTTTAAACAAATCAAACTAAATTAAATCCTGATGTAACTTCACTGGCTTCAATAATCTTATACCAAGGGCAATCTGGGTCCTAAGTAGGTACCTTCTTGAGAGCGGTATACACATCCATCTCCACTTGCATTACAAATAGGTTAGAAGAGCTGATCAACTGTTTCATGAGGTTTATGCTGGAAAAGACAAAATACTATGAGATGGGATGTGTAAAACTAAGTCAATAAAGTAATTAGTAATAGCACAGAAGAAAGAGTAAAGGAAGTTAATTCACTCTTCCCATAGGTAAGTGAAAAGTAGAGCTGATTGGGCATTTCTTAAAACAGCAGTTTGTTGTAAAATGCAGCTCTGTCAAAACAAACTTAAGAAAAGGTCTGCTTCTGACAAAACTTTAGCTAGGAAGATTTTTCCACCATTACCTGGGAATTTCTGATCACAAAAAGCACAGAATTACCATTAGTTAAGTGATTAGGATATGAGAGTCCTACTCTGTGTGATCTGGATAAAGCGAGTTTCCCTAATTACCAGACTACTCACTGGCAAGTCTGAAATGGATCTCTACAACCTCTCCTATTCATTGGGCCAAAAGGGCATGTCTGCACAGCAGGGCTGAACTCGAAATAAGCTACACAACTTGAACTACGTCAGTTCTGAATATAGGCAAGCAACACGGGAATGCAGGGGCAAGATTAGAAAGGCAAAGGCACAAAATGAGATCAAACTAGCCACAGGCATAAAGGGAAACAAGAAGACCTTTTATAAATACATTAAAAGCAAGAGGAAGACCAAGGACAGGGTAGGCCCACTGCTTAGTGAGGAGGGAGAAGCAGTAACAGGAAACTTGGAAATGGCAGAGATGCTCAATGACTTCTTTGTTTCGGTCTTCACCGAGAAGTCTGGAGGTGTGCCTAACGTAGTGAATACAAGCAGAGAGAGGGTAAGTTTAGAAGATAGGATACACAAAGAACAAGTTAAAAATCACTTAGGAAAGTTAGATGTCAGCAAGTCACCAGGTCCTGATGAAATGCATCCCAGGATACTCAAGGAGCTGATAGAGGAGGTATCTGAGCCTTTAGCTATGATCTTTGAAAAATCATGGCAGACAGGGGAGATTCCAGAAGACTGGAAAAGGGCAAATATTGTGCCCATCTATAAAAAGGGGAATAAGAACAACCCAGGAAATTATAGACCGGTCAGTTTAACGTCTGTCCCAGGGAAGATAATGGAGCAGGTAATTAAGGAAATCATATGCAAACACTTGGAAGGTAATAAAGTGATAGGGAATAGCCAGCATGGGTTTGTGAAGAACAAGTCATGCCAAACTAATCTGATAGCTTTCTTTGATAAGATAACGAGCCTTGTGGATAAGGGAGAAGCGGTGGATGTCATATACCTAGACTTTAGTAAGGCATTTGATACGGTCTCGCATGATATTCTTATTGATAAACTAGGCAAATATAACTTAGATAGGGCCACGATAAGGTGGGTGCATAATTGGCTGGATAACCGTAGTCAGAGAGTTGTTGTTAACGGTTCTAAATCCTGCTGGAAAGGGATAACAAGTGGAGTTCCTCAAGGGTCTGTTTTGGGACCCGTACTGTTCAATATCTTCATCAATGATGTAGATATTGGGATAGAGAGTACTCTTATTAAGTTTGCAGATGATACCAAACTGGGTGGGGTTGCAACTTCTTTGGAGGATAGGGACATAATTCAAAATGACCTTAGCAAGTTAGAGAAATGGTCGGAGGTAAACAGGATGAGGTTTAATAAGGAGAAATGCAGAGTGCTCCACTTAGGAAGGAACAATCAGTTCCATACATACAAGATGGGAAGCGACTGTCTAGGAAGGAGCATGGCGGAAAGGGATCTAGGGGTCATAGTGGACCACTAGTTGAATATGAGTCAACAGTGTGATGCTGTTGCCAAAAAAGCAAATATGATTCTAGGTTGTATTAACAGGTGTGTTGTAAGCAAAACTCGTGAAGTCATTCTGCCGCTCTACTCTGCACTAGTTAGGCCTCAGCTGGAGTACTGTGTCCAGTTCTGGGCGCCACATTTCAAGAAAGATGTGGAGAAATTGGAAAGGGTACAGAGAAGAGCGACAAGAATGATTAAAGGTTTAGAGAACATGACCTATGAAGCCAGGCTTCATGAACTGGGCTTGTTTAGTTTGGAAAAAAGAAGATTAAGGGGGGACATGATAGCGGTTTTCAAATATCTAAAAGGGTGTCACAAGGAGGAAGGAGAAAATTTGTTCCTCTCAGTTTCTGAGGACAGGACAAGGAGTAATGGGATTTACATTGCAGCATTTAGATTGGACATTATTAAAAAATTCCTAACTGTCAGGGTGGTCAAATATTGGAATAAATTGCCAAGGGAGGTGGTGGAATCTCCCTCTCTGGAGATAGTTAAGAACAGGTTAGATAGACATCTGTCAGGGATGGTGTAGACGGAGCTTGGTCCTGCCTTGAGGGCAGGGGGCTGGACTCGATGACCTCTCGAGGTCCCTTCCAGTCCTATTATTCTATGATTCTATGAGTTGCGTAGCTAAGTTGAAATAGCTTATTTCAACTTTGGGCACGTCTACACTGCACTTATTTCGAAATAGAGCGCTCTTCCCCCAACTTCTCTTACTCCTCATAAAATGAGATTTACAGAAGTCAGAGTAAGAAGCCTGTTATTTCTAATTTATTTAGAAATAACGGACTTGCTGTGTAGACACACACTATGCTATTTCAGAATAACTAATGTTATTCTGAAATAGCACTGCTGTGCAGACATGCCCTAATAGAGTAGTCTGTAAGGGCACTCACCTAGGGCATGGGAGATTTGTATTCAAATCCCTGCTCCAAATCAGACTTAACAGGGCCTTACGCCTTGGTCCCAAATCACCACCAGACCCTAACCATTGGGCAAGCACTCTTGGTTTTTACAAAACACACACCACACACCCTGAAATAATTCAGTTTTGCCCAAGTGTAGAAAAGGAAAACAATTTAGGAGGGAAGTTGGGTCCATAAGTAAGTGAAGATTAAAGGACTCAATCTAAATTTACCAGGGTACATGAAAAGTAAATATTTAGTCAGAGTTGAAGAAGTAAGTGACTAGCCACTAGGCAGGCATTCAAAATAAAGTACTCTCTTAGCCAAAACCTATAAATTATATTTTGAAGTTAATTTCAACAGTAACCACGGAGGGACTAAGGAGCCTCGCTAATAAAACTCTGTCAAATATCAAAAGTTTATTTTTAAAATTATGAAAATAGATGCATTACCAAGAGCATTAAATAAAAATCGTAAGTATTTAAAGAAAAACTTGTCAAACTTTAACTGAGGAAATTTTAAAGCTAGATTATATAACACACATATACAATGCCAACCTTGGAAGGGTCCCATCACATAATTAAAACAACATTTTAAAAAACAAGTCATCCTGTGCCACCTTAGCGACTAAAAAAATATATGTATAGTATCATGAGCTTTTGTGGGAAAAACCCACTTCCTCAGATGAAACGATCTTGAGTGGGAAAAAGTGGGGGACCCTCAAAATAAAAAGGGAGAGAGGAAAGACATAACAAAATGGTCTAATTCTTGATGACCATTACAGCAATATTGTAATATGCCATTTGCAGCATGTTTTAGTTACTTCAAAATAGGTAGACCATTTAACCACCTAATTATCCAAGTTAATTGAAATCTGCATACCTGAGTTCTTTGAAGAGTTCAACACTCTGGTGAGTCATCAGGTTATTTAAAAGCCATTCAAGGCACCTAGATAATAAGAAATCGTTTGCTAGTCACAATTTTCAGATATCCAAGTTAAACCACTGATCAAACCCTAAAATAGATTTCATAACTTCTAATTGGTTTAATAATGGAGGATCAAAAAACTCTCAGGATCTAAAAGCTCTGATATGTCTTTTTCTTTAATGCTACTTTAACTTGAATGATCGTAAACTTTAGGAAGGACTAAAGAAACATTTAAGACATTTCCAAAATATCAGGTTTACTTAGATAAGCATTACACTAACAGTAAACTTTGCAAAGGTTATCTTCTGTGATAGCAAAGGGAGGGTGGGCAGTTTGAATTGAGAAGGTGAACAAAGTAACTCAGTGTCCCACAAAGGACTGTGGGACCATTAGTTGTTGGGGAAGAAGGAACTGGCTAGAGCACCCTGCTCACCAATTCTTTCAAAACTTTTTCTGCTCAGAACTTAAATGTATTTCATGTTGAACATTACAGCAGCACAGATATCCAACAAATTTAGAACAGAATAGTCAATTACATTCACATTGTACTATTCCTCTGAAAAGTTAACCTATCTTCTTTTCAAATTTACAACCAATTCTTTGCATTCTCTAAGTTACACTTTTTAAAAGAAGGCCCACTGTATTCAAAATAGAGATTGAACCTCTGTGATCCGGGACTCTCTGGTCCAGCACTGCTGAACTAGAGAGCCCCAGCATAGAGATTACCAGCAGCTAGGAGCAGAGCCAGCCAGCAGGGCACCAGAACCTGCAGCTGGCCAGGCTGGGAAGCCAGGGGGGGCG